CTAGAGAAAGATGCTGCAATTTACATTCTGGCCTGTGCTGCTGAAGGTTCCCAGCACATGGAAATACTTCTCAAGCAGAACTACTTAAATATAAAAAAGATAATCTACTTTTGCACTTGCTCCAGAGAGGCACCCATATGGGAGTGAGAGCACCAGGTAAAATCAGAAGAGATCAAAAAAAAGCCAAACGAACATTGTAGCATATTCTGAAAGTATAATTACCATATTATGTGTAATACATAATATAAATGATATGTAACTATATATAATGTATATTGTTTACTCTAAAGTATATTATTTGGAGAGCTCGTGGTCAGGTGCTCACAGGTATTTTCTTTATCAGATTATGAATCTGATAAAGATTCCTTGGACGGACTAGGTGACTACGGTGATTCATCTCTACCAAGGCACTTTCTCCCTAAGGCAGGGTTGCAAATGTGGATATGAAGGATGTATTTGTAGTACCCCTTTGAAAAAATGTTCCTGCCACAGTATTTGAAAATCGTGTTGCAGCGTGAATGTTTTTTTCAAAGAGCTGCTGAAAGAACATTCTCAAAGTTAGTGTTTCAACAGGTTTTGTCTCATGGAGGTAGAGATTTTTTTCAGGAAGGGCAAGTTTCACCTGAGAATAATATCTCTATATAGGGGCGTGTCATGGAAGAATATTAGACACAGCATACTGATCCCAAAAGACAGTGTTTACACCACCACAGACTCTTGGCAGAAGTAGAGCATTTGTATTTTTCTTTACCAATCTGAATGGCCATGTCTCCTAAAATAGTTAATCTCAGGAACAACTTGATTTTTCATTTCAGTGAATAAAGCTGTCACCGTGAGAATTGCACCAAGTCACTTGGAGGACTTGCTGTTCCTGAAGGGGAACATTCTGGGCTTGACTTCTTTTTCAGTAGTTTTCATCAGCCACTGATGTGGCTTTCTTTCTTGCAAGTACAGGTTGCAATGTGAATGCGCCAGCCATCCTATTATTTTCAGTTGTAGCCCACTACTTTATTAGGCCTCTCTGCCAAATTCTGGTAACAGTGGTGGTTTAAAACCCTTGAAATCATTGCCCTGGGGAATATAGGCTAATGTTTCAAGCCATTATTGATCATCTTGTGAGCTGCTAGATAAAATACTTCTTGAATTTTCAGTTTCTGAACTTTTTTACAAAATGCTGGAAGCCACGTCCTTGCCACTGAAACAGCTTTCAGATCGCACAGACTGCAGAGGGCTTCTCTTATTCTCAATTTCCAAATAAGTTAATTTTCCACCTTAGACTAGTGTTCTCTTAGCTTTTTGCAATAAATCTTCTGTGTGGTAGAAAGACAGTTGTATACGTTGTATTTTATCCTAGTTCCTTTAAAAAGCTTTTTTTTAAGTTTTCTAAAGAAAAAGAAATTTTACTGATTTCACAGAGGTGATGACATACTACTTAGAAGTAATCAGTACGGCTCTATTTCTGTAGAATGAAACTGAGCGGGAGTCCATTTTTTGTTTGTGTATGTGATATGGGAAAACACAGGAAGGTGCAGAATCCCAGTTTATATACTGGTGGAGCCAGCTAGATCCCCTAGGAGAAAAAAATGACATGACAGTAGAATCTTTAGACTCTTCTCTCCTCTTCCTGGTGTCCACATATAGATCTGAATATATAAAAGTGGGTTTGTATGTGTGGCGTAAAGCTCAGTAACTGAGAGGAAAATGAAATCTCTAGAGAGGAGAGGCTGGAAAATATAACTCAACTGAATTACTTTTCTATTCCCTCCACTTTGCAGAAGCACTTCTGAAATTCATTTACAGTAAATATCTGTATTTCATTTTTCTTTCCATTTTTTTATTTTTGCCTTCCAGTATCTGAGAACTATTGGCAAGTCAACAAAACAGGGCATTGATTCAGTATTCACCTTGGATAAGATGACCTTCTTAGATTATCAATATTGGTTGTTTTAGCATTATTAGAGCAGTACGGACCAACTGAAGTTATAGACAGTTTATGCAAAAGAAAGGTGCATGATGATAGTTTTTCACAAAATCAAGAAGTGTCTCTAGTAGCCCTTACAGTCTGAACAGTTTAAAGTCAGTTTTTACTTCAGTTCAAAATGAAACAATTGCCTGTTGCACAAATATCCTATTCTTTTCTAAGCCATGTGCAATCCTGAAAGTTTGTTGTATGCTTGGGATCTGGTCTGATTTGGAGAATAGCTGATGTAAAACATCGCCTAAGTTATGTACCAGAATACTGGGCCTGTCTTCACCCAACTGGTAGAAAGTGCTACCTCCTCCCATGCAGGTCAAAAATTCAGTTATATGTAATGCTGCTACCTCAAGAGTAAAGGACCCTAGCATGCTTTGAGATGTACAAATGCTTGTTCAAATCAAATTGTTACGTAGGACAGCTCCATAAGGAATCCATGAAAGAATGTTTTCCCAATTAAAGAAGCATATGCAGCACTGAGTAATCCCTTCAATGTGAGGGGATTCAAGTATGACAGGTCAGTCTCACGTGGCACAGCACGCAGGGCTGCTGATGGAGGGCTAGGCAGCCATTCTCCCTTCAAGTCAGGATTTACAGTTTTGGACTGTCTCCCTTGTACTTACTGTAAGGTCTCTTCTTCTGGAAGTATGGAATAAGGCAGTAGGAGACCAGCTGTTCACAACAGCATAATCCTTTTTCTCTCTCCCATTCTCATTTTCCAAGCAAATTTTCCTAGTCTGATCATGAGCTAAATCTTATTGAAGCAACAATAAGCAGAGTTAACAGCTGACTGCACAGCCGGTGTGCTGTGACCACAGCTTGTTAGGCCCACCCTGTTTCTCTCACTGCTTGCTCTCCTCGGCAGTCTGCCCAGGGCTGTGCTTTGCTCTGCTGTTTTGCTCCGTCGCAATCGTCTTGCGGTAGAGATTCTTCCGGTTGTGATGTGCACAGCGCCTAGCACGAGGGAACCCCCGGTGCTGGCTCCACCAGGTATATTACCATTATTAAAAAAAGTCGCTAACAACTTTGAGTTTCGTTAACAGCTGTGCGGCTCTTAAGATGAAAACAGGAGTTAGTTCTGAGTTTTAGCACAACATTGCATTTGCTCGTTCAGGAATTTTTGTCCAAAATCTGTCTTGAGGTCTGCAGGTCTGAAAATCAATGTCTCCTGTAACTTCTTTTCCTCCTAACGTTCTCCAGACTTTTTGGCAGGAGAGGAGGTGTAATTCTTTAAAGTATGGTGGGAAAAATCTGTTCAGCTGTTTCTATGATCCAGTCCTTCCAATAACTTTTTCCGTGGAAATGAAAGATCTCATCTGTTAACTGATTCAAGGGAGCATTGTTTTTTAGGTAGTCACATTAATTTGTGTTTGCCATTAACATCAATTTTTGATCATATTCGTGTTCATTCTCTTTGAACTGTGCTCTGACCTCTTCTTTCCTCATTCAAACACAGACAGAGTTCAAGAGTCAATTTATAGTAGCTTTCAGAACTATCATTTAAGCAGCAGATCTGTTGTTTTACAGTTTAAAAATACGCTGTGGATACCTGTTTTAAGTAGGCCTGTTGTGAGTGTGAAATAAAGGTCCCTAATAAGATTTTATACTGTGATATCTCTATTAAGAGGTTCTTCTTTGTGTAATACTTCATGGTGAAGTTGCTTCTATTTAAAGCATTGAGTTTGATCCTGGCTTTGATCTAAAGCTTTTGATCTTGAAAGAAGGATGTTGTGGCAGTAAAACAAAAAGGGTAGGAGAGAGGAGAGATTTTTTTTTTTTTTATGTGATAAAGTTAAAGGGATACTGCCAAGATTTAGTAGGCACTAATTGGACTTACCTTTATTTACTTACATCTGTTTGCAAAGTCCATCTGATTCTATAGGTGGGAGGGTTGGCTCAAACACATGCTCTGATGAGCCTTTTCCTTTTACAAGAGCACAGATTTTCTTTTTACACTTTGAGGGAATTGTCATATATAGCACAGAGTAAAAATTATTTTTAAAAGTTTGAAAATACCTTACCAACATTGTTTTAATTATACCAGATATGACACAGTCTGCCTTTTTTTTTTTTTGTCTTTTGCTTCAAATGGTAAGTACTGTAAAAGCTTTCAATAACGTCCCAGGAGTTTCTAGTATTAAAATCGTCCATAGCCAACAGTAGTCGTGCCTCTCCCACCACAGCGGAGTTTGAATATCCTGTTCGAAGAGGTGCACACGCATCTGCTGAAGTCCCATGCCTGCCGTCGCTGTCGAATACAGTGCTTAATGGAGGCCTAAGTAAGCGTCTTGCTGCGCTATAATATCAAGTTAAAAAGCTGTTGGTCCTTGCTTTCAAGACGCGTTTCAGAACCTCCAAGACAACTCCTTCGGTATTTTGCATTCCTTCGCTGTCAAGGAAGTAGCGGGGAAATTTTTTAGGCGCTTGATGGCGGCGTCACTTTCTGCCGTGAGCTGACCCCATGAGCCCCTTCCCCGGGGCGTAACGAGCAAGGGGCTGGGGAGCCCCGCGGCAGAGGAAAGCGCCCCTCCAAAACCGAGGCTGTCAGGCTGGGCCGAGCCTGGGCCCTGCGGGGTGGCGGCAAAGGGCCGTCCCTTAAGGCAGC